AAAAGAACAGGAATGCTAGAGCCCGTCTGTGTAGATGAATTCACCTCTCTGGATCTCATTTTTTTTCACCTGCCAAATGGTGCTAAGCACAGCATCAACCCCATAAGTGTTTCTTTGTTTTTGAGTCAGGGTCTCTGTCACCCAGGCTGGACTGCTGTGGCATGATCATGGCTCACCACAGCCTTGACCTCTTGGGTTTAAGCAATCCTCCTACCTCGGCCTCCCAAGGAGTTGGTGCTAAAGGCAAGTGCCACCACACCTGGCTAGTTTTTTGATTTTTTGTAAGGTCTCATTATGTCGCCCAGGCTAGTCTCCAACTCCTGGGCTCAAGTGATCCTCCTGATTTGGCCTCCTAAAGTATGAGATTACAGGTGTGAGTCACTGCGTCCGGCCATAAGCGTTTCTTTAGTAAAATAGATAATAAGTCAATTAAATAAAAAAGTAAATGCTCAGGGTGGCTCTCCAGGAGGCAGGTTGCAGGAAGCAACCCCTGCCCCAGTTTCTTTGACATGATTCTTCCTTGAAAAGAAGCATTTTGAGGGATCCAGGTTTCAGAAAATCACAACCCCTGAGCCACTGTGACATTCATGTGACAAAACTCTCCCCTAAATAATTCTATCCGAGACAGAAGACCATGGACCTCAGAGACATCTGCCCAGAGCCCAAACCCTGCTAGAGAGTAGAGGTTCAGAGCAGAGCTCAAGGTCCAGGGCTGCCACAAATGGTTGCTCAGGCTGTGTACTGCATGAGGCGGCCATTTCTACGGGGGGCCTCTCACATCACAGATGGTATGGATTTGGATATTCATGATAGTGATTTTCTTTTCTTTTTTTTTTAAGTGAGAAAGTAGGATTTACTGACAGGACAGAGAAGCTGCCACAGTGGGATGGGACCCGAAGGGGTTGGCCGACCGGTGCTTATATAGCCCTAAGACTGAGCTGATTGGCTAGCACTAGCTGTGAGATGTTGCTGTTCTGATTGGTCAGTACTAAGGACCAATCGGCAGGAGGTAGAGGCCTAATGGTGAGCTGATTGGTTGCTTTTCAATCCCAGCAGTGAGTTCTTAGCTCTAGCTTGAGAGGCTCCTAGGGAGCTTGTTTACCAACACTGAGCCTGAGAGGTCCGGGGAGTTTGCTACTTCGCTACATTGTTACCAGAGGAGGGGGGAGTTTGCTACATTATTACCAGAGGGCAGAAGAGGGGGAGTTTGCTACATTGTTACCAGAGGAGCTGCCTGTCTGTCTGCCTAGTCCTTCCCTAGCTATCTCCACGGACAGTGATTTTCTAGATGATGGCAGGAAGGGTCTCTTCCAACAAAAGCAGGATGTAACGACAAATGTCCACTTTCTAGGACTTAAGAAAGGGGCATCGTTTTCCAGTGGGTGTAAGTCTCCCCACCCCCTTGCCTTCTGTGGGGCTCGACCTCCACCAACCCAGCAGGAGCCCCGGGAATCCTGCCCTGGCCATGGGCCGTACTCACGGGTTGGTCGTGGACAGGATAAACATGGAACTGTAAGGAGGCATGGGCTTGGGGCCGTCTTCCCCGGGGTCATCCTGTTCCTCCTCCTTCTTCTCTTCCTCTTTCTTTGGCAGTGGGTCTGGGTTGGCGTTTTTGTTCACTGTTGGGACAAGCACAGATACCAGGCTTCCTCCACCCTTCCCCACAAAGCTATGGGCTCTGGTGCACTTCCAGGGCAGGCCATGGGCAGCCGACCCTGATGCCCGCAATCCTCTCTCCGCAGCCTCCTGAGTAGCTGGGACTTCAAGCATGTGCCACCAAGCCTGGCAAACTTTTTGATTTTCTTTTTTAGTGATAAGGTCTTGCTATGTTGCCCAGGCTGGGCTCAAGTGATCCTCCCGCCCTCGGCCTCCCAAAGCGCACTGGGATTACCGGTTGTGAGCCACTGTGCCCAAAGCTCCTCATGGCTGTAATGTGTATGTCTCCTCTCCACATTTTAGTTAAGGGAGGCAGGCCATGTATACCCAAAATCATAATGAAAAACAATAGCGATAATAACAGCAAACATCTCAGCAACACCGAGTCCCCAGGGGCTGTTCTACTGTATACCGGGTGCCACGGCATGTCGTAGAGTCCTCCCAGGGCCCTGAGATGGACATTCCAGGATCCCCATTTTACAGGTGAGGAGACAGAGGCACAAAGGAGGTGACTTGTCTCAGGTCACACAACAGGATTTGAACCCTAGGCAGCCCAGTCCCTGGACGACCGCTCTCAGCCACACCACAGCCTTGAGACGGAGGCATGAACACAGACCCACCCCAGGAACTACTGAGTCTCCCACAGTGGCACTGCAGGGTTTCCCCCATGGCACTCTATCCCTGTCAGCCTCCGGACCAGGACCCTGCAGCCTAGCCTAGCTGTGCGTCCATGGGCAGCACCTCTGAGCCTCAGTTTCTTCAGCTGCAAGACGGGCACAGGGCCAAGATCGACCTCCAGGGACCACGGCAAGTGTCTGTCAAGCAGACCTACGGCCACCTCTCGCACAGAGCTGTCACCTGAGGAGACCAAGCTACCGTCATCCTGGGAGCCACTCTGGTCAGAGAGGCTCGTCTCTGAAGTCTCTGTGCCTGGTCCTGGTCTCACCCCTGTGAGGTGCGCTGGGCCTCTGTCCCCTGACACGGGGGGCTCCTGGCATACCCGGAATGCGGTCAAGTCCAAACTGGGCCGTGTCCTGAGGGTAGAGCACAGCCCAGGTTTGGAAGGAGGAGTAGGAGAAACAGAAGGCAAAGGAGCTGGGCTCGGTGGCTCAGCCTGTAATCCCGCGCCTTGGGAGGCTGAGGTGAGTGGGCTGCCTGAGCCCGCAGGTTCGAGACCCGCCTGGGCAACTTGGTGAGACCTCATCTCTACAATAAATTGCTGCACTCCAGTCTGGGCGACAGAGTGAGACTCCAACTCAAAAAAAAAAAAAAAAAAACAAAGAAGGCAAAGGATCCTGTCAGTGGTTTAAAGAGAACTCAGGCTGAGATGGTGACTTGGTGGACAACTCAAGTTCATGTCACCTGTCTTTAGAATATCTTTTAATTCCCTCCCTCCCTCCCTCCTTCCTCCCTTTCTTCTTTCCCCTCTTTCTTCCTCTTCCTCCCCTTTCCTTCCCCCATTCCCCCCACCAACTTCGAGAAAGTTCAACATCACAGCTGCAGCCTGGGATCCCTTTCTCTGGGCCGGGGGCCTGGAGGGCCACCTGAGCCCCATGTTTCCACCAGAGGTGTCCCTCCTCCTCCACCAGGGTGGCTGCGGCTCCCCGGGGACCCCGCAGGTCCGGATCTGGGGCCCCCGCGTCTCATCTCGCCGAATCCTC